GTTAAATTTTTTAGAATAAACTTATACATTTTGTATTTTAATTATATTAAAAAACATAAAAGAAAATAATCAATTTTTTTTTAATATATTTTACAAAATTATGATACAAACCCCACACCTTCGCCTTTTAGATTCATGATAATAAATATAATATTAAATGCATTAAAAATTGATTTTAATTTGATAGTTTTGAGTTCTGAGATTTATCAATGTATAACATATACTAGCGGTAATGAATTTTATCCATGACAAAATATCTAGTAAAGCTTGTTTAATTCTATTCGATGCTACACTTATTATTACAGTATATTAATATCGTTAGAATTAAGGAAAATTAGTATTTAGAAACTCGTAGGACCCTATTCAATCACCAAACTTTATACATCAGCCGCTGTGTCCCGTCGGTTATCATTATCGCGATTAACTATTTAAGTGATTTCGTGATGTAGAATTAACTGACCACAACTATTTATCAAAATATTAATGTTTATACTACAAAAATTCTCGATCGATTCAAAAAAGCCTATGAAAGTTTCTTTCTCATTATACGCGTTATCTATTTCCAAAAAACTTATAAATTCACTTTATATACAACATTTTATCTTCAAAAAAAAAAAATATACATTATCTTTTTCAAGAAGAATAAAAATCATGTCGCGCTTTAAACATTCCCTTTTGTTCGCTCTTGTCTTATCTTTTCTCGTGCTTAGCGCCTATCCATTTTCCGATAATGAAAATATTGATTTAGATGATTCTAAATTAACCGATACAAGTCCTCAAGACGATATTTTAGATTTTTCGGCCAACTCAAATAAAGCGTATGATGCCTCTGAGAACATTGTTACAGTTGAAGAATTCAAACCCTCTGAGAACATTGTTACAGCTGAAGAATTCAAACCTTATCTCGAAAATCTTGTAAAAACTAATGATCATCTCTTTAATCTCTTTAAACCACATTATCGTAAATTTAAAGTTATTATGCTACCAATTAGCAAAGGATATCATTATGTTTATAAAGTTATTGTTACCCCTAAATCTAAATTTGGAAAACCTAAAATTTATGATATTTATGTAACTCCTTTACGTAAGAAGAAATGCCTCGAAATTGTTTCTATTCCTCGTCACGCTCCCAGTCAATGGAAAGGTGCTACTGTCTGTATTCCATATAGTTTTCATTAATTTAATGTTGATTTGGGTATAGCAAAATTATAAAAGAGATAATATATAAAAAAAATATATATACATATACATATATATATTGAAATTTTCAAATTTGTAAACATTAAAATTTATTATGTTTTAATAAAATAACATATTTTGTATTAAAAAAATGAGAGTATTAAATAAAAAAAAAAAAACATTATCTATCGTGCCGGAAATTTTTACTCAAGTACCATTTTGGAAAATAGTATGTGCGTAATCGCTCAAGCTTCCTTCGAAATTGTCATTGATCATATAATTATAAGCAAGACGCTTTGTCTTCATCAGTTTTTTATAATGACAGAAATGTCAACCGAATAAAGGCCTTTTGATGGGTATGAATTTAGTGCTAAACTTGCCGTAAGAATTTGTAAAGGAGAACGTCCAGAATTTCCACCTGAAACTCCCGATTTCTATGCTGAATTGGCAAAACATTGTATATATTATGTTCCATAAAAGCGATATAATACACGAATATAAAAAAAGAAAGTGAACAATTGCGTCATAGAAACCATCGAAATAACCAAAAAATTAACAATTAATATACCTTTTCTTTAACAAAAATATTTGCAGCAAGTTCTTTTTAAAAATCCATTATCAAAAATTCTATAATAATTTAAACTTTTAATGTATACGTACGTAATTTTAATATAGCAGATAGTCAGGATCAAAACTAAACCATTACGTATGCTTTCTAGGTATATATAGTTATGTAAAGTATAAATTAATTATCACCCTACGTATAGTTGACAAAAATTGATCAGAGTAAAATCGCCACCTAAGATAGTGCGACTACCACCTAATTAAATTCGATGAAATTTTTTATTATTTTTAATACTACATGTCTGTAGAATCAAAATAAATAAAAATTTTTTATCGAATCATATTAGATGGTTGTCGAGAAAATTTCGCTCAAAGTTTCAGAAAATTTACCCCACCTATAAACAATGATGCTGTTCAAAATTTTTTTAAACTTTTGAGCAAAGTTTTCTCAACAACCATCGAATAAAATTCGTCAAATTTTTTTTTATTTATTTTAATTCTACATGTCTATAGAATTAAAATAAAAAATTTTCATCGAATTTAGTTAGGTGGTTGTCGGAGAAAACTTCGCTCAAAATTTAAAAAAATGTTATACACAGCTTTATTATTTATAGATGGGGTAAATTTTCTCAAAACATTGAACGAAGTTTTCTTGGCAACCACCTAATACAGTGGCGGCCAAAAGTTTTACATCACTTGAATAAAAAAAGTTAATTTCAGATATCTTCTTAGCGATAAGTTATTTTAAATAATTTTTTTTTTATTTGATTTATCGAAACCAAGAATGATTATCACCAAAATTATGGCGCAATTGGATCACATGATCTTGCACCAAAGTGTGATTTGTTGAGAAACCCCGATGGATCGTCCTAATTAAAATTTAATAGTGAATTAAACTTCAAGAGAAGATATCTTAAGTAATGACCCAGGTAATTTTATTTTAAGTATATACAATTTTTCTCTAGGTTTTTGGGATTCAAAATGTCCCTAAACATTAAATTCCGGTAAATTCTCGTCAAGATATGCTCTTTTTTTTTTAGCAAAAAGAAATTGAGACTTGATTTTTAATAATAAAAATCAAATCGCAAAATTTTTTTTTACTAAAAAAGAGCGTATCTTGATGAGGATTTACAGGAATTTAATGTTTAGAGACATTTTTGAGTTCCAAAAACCTAGAGAATAATCGTATATACTTAAAATAAAATTATCCGGGTCATTACTTAAGATATCTTCGCTTGAAGTTTAATTCACTATTAAATTTTAATTAGGATGATCAAAAGAAATCACACTGTGGTGCAAGATCATGTGATCCAATTGCGCCATAATTTTAGTGATAATCATTTCTTGGTTTCGATAAGTATATAGTTAGATTATTTGAATTAAAGTATATAGTAGAAATCCTTTAAGTGAAGTATATAAGCTAAGGATATTAAAAGTATTTGAAGTTAGTTGAAGTAAAGGATGTTGAGTTATTAAGTTTCATAGTATATTAA